CTGCATATCAGATACCCTGCATATCAGATGATACCCTGCATATCAGACATTTACATTCCAATTCATTACAGCTATGATGTAGCAATGAAAATAATTTTGTCATTGGGGTCACCCAGCATGAAGAACCATATTAAAGGGTTGAAGCATTAGGGAGATTGAGAACCACTGAATTAGAATAACCAAGAGCTAACTGTGTTAATTAAGTAACCATGTTGTCTTAGGGTTTTACTGCTGTGAACATTCACTATGACCCAGGTAACTCTTATAAGGACAATATTTAATTGGGGCTGGCTTAGAGGTTCAGAGATTCAGTCCATTATCAAGACAGGAGCATGGCAGCATCCAGGCAAGCATGGTGCAGGAGTTGCTGAGGGTTCTACATCTTCATCTGAAGACTGCTAGTGGAAGACTGACTTCCAGGCAGCTAGGATGAGGGTCTTAAGGCCACGCTCACAGTGACACATCTACTCCAACAAGGCCACACCTCCTAATAGTGCCACTCCCTGGCCCAAGCACATACAAACCATCACCCATGCTAATTAAGCTTCTTATCTATAGTCCAGTACTTCGGAAAGCTGAAAGGACAAAGCAGCTAGGTCAGGAGCTTAGCATAAGCTGTATAATTTCCTGAATGGTTGAGTCTTTGACCACGAGTAAAGGAGACAGGGTAACAATGGCTACTCCTCCATTGAAGAGGTAATGAGGTTCCAAAAAGGGGCACCATTAGGCTCAAATCATTCAGCTGTGGAGAACTGGAACCCAAACAGAAATTGTGGCTATTTCTTTTCTTTTTTACATTATACCATGCCTTTGTAAAGGCATCATCCTGGTTAGACTTCTGTGAACTTGACACACAAACTAGTGTTATCTGAAAGGAGGGAAACCTCGACTGAGAAAATGTCTCAATAAAATCTGGCTGTAAGGTATTTTCTTAACTAGTGACTGATGTGGGAAGACCCAGCCCATTGTGGGTGGTACTATCCCTGGGCTGGTGGTCCTGGGTTCTATAAGAAAGCAAGCTGAGTGGGCCAGGGAAAGCAAGCCAGTAAGTCCTGCCCCTCCATGGCCTCTGCACCAGCTCCTGCCCCCAGGTTCCTGCCCTGTGTGAGTTCCTGTCCTGACTTCCTTTGGTGATGAACAGCCATGTGGAAGTGTGAGCTGAATAAACTTTTTCCTCCCCAACTTGCTTTTTGGTCATGGTGTTTGGTTGTAGTAACAGAGTAACTAAGAATGGACAGTAACTTTGGATTACTTATCATTAGAAACTGCTGGAATCTTTGCTGTCCAGGGTATTAGAGGTGCTGAATACAAGGCAGGATGTCAGTTCACATCCTTGCTCTAAAGTTCTCAGCTTTGATTCTTTTCTCCTTAGAATGGATTTATATCTATTCATCTGTAATACAGTGCTTAACAGGACAGACCCTTGAGCCTGCTGACTAACTCTGCCAGTAACTGCTGGCCTCAGCAAGTTGCTTCATTTTTTCTGGGCCTCATTATCCTGTGCTGTAAAATAGAGAAGGTCATAGTACCTATTGTAGGGTTGTGGGGATTCAATACATTTAGAGAAAATACTATGTCAACCTTAGCATTGGCTATCCATTACCAATTTACATTTAAAATATAGTATACATAAACCTATGTGTTTGCCAAAACCTCTGGTTAAATGATAGGACTACAAACTTGTTCCTGGAGAGTAGGAAACCAGCACACTCCTTTTCTGTAGTATTTGACTCAGAGTGGAAACTTCAACCACACTGCACGGTGCTGAGTACTGATATAACCAGGAAGCTGTAACTGCGCATCATTCAAGCAGAAGGTAGACTTCACAAGTGTTCCCAGTCAACTCCCCTGCACGCGTTTATCTCAAAGAACAGAGGCCGGGAAGAGATGAGCAACCAATCCCCATAAATGACTGCAGAAGACAGTAAAATCGCACTCTCAAAAGCGGCAAGATGCACACACAGGTGCTTTAAGTTTAGATTAAGTGTATGCCTTCTGCGCAAAGCCTACAGGTTCCTCCCTTCCCCCTCTCCCCTTCTCTCTTTCCTTCCTTCCTCTCTCCTTCCCTCTCTTTTCCTCCTTTCCCTCTCTCCCTCCTCCCTATCTCCCTTCCCTCTTTTCTTCCTCTCTCCCTCCCTCCCTCTCCTCTTTTTCTCTTCCCCCTCTACCTCTTCTCTCCTCTCTTCCTCCCTCCCTCCCCTCTCTTTCCTCCTCTTTCCTCTTTCCTCTTCTCTCTCCTATCTCCCTCTCCTTTTCTCCCCTTTCTCTCCTTTCCTGTCGCTCCCCCGCATCACCCCACACCCCGGCATTGAGACAGGATTTCGCTTACAGGCAAAGCACTCAATGCTCCAAAAAGCTGTTTTTAATTGAGGTGAAATTCCTAACTTAAGACCCCTCAAGAGATACTAAAAATCCTCAAATGGGCGGGACCTGAACCTGACGAGACCCCACCCACGTGGCAGGCTCCGCCCCGTTACAGGCCCCGCCCAAAACTCGCTCTGGCTGACTGTGGCGCTCTCAGCCGCCCTCTTTGTCCACAGGACGCTTGCGCGCCTGTCAAGGCGTCTTGGCATTGCCCACATCCAAATGAATGGCACAAAGAAGCCTGAATTTTCGGGAAGCCTCAACACAGGCTTTTTATGTCTTTTAGAGCTTGTTTTGGTTTCTAGGTCTTGAGAGAGAGCGGCTTACTTCCCTGACGTTGCTTAAGAGGGTATGTTTTAAGTCAGGAGCTCTCTAGACAGTCCGCATCTTGGATCAGGGTCCTTGCGCCGAGCTTTGGGCGGGCCAAAGGGGAAGCCGGGTCCTTTTCTAGGGCGGTCGCACTGGCAGCGGTGGTGGGAAGCCGGCCTTAGCCAACATGTACTACAAGTTTAGCAGTTTCACGCAGAAGTTGGCTGGGGCTTGGGCTTCGGAAGCCTATACTCCGCAGGTACGGTTGTGCCGCGTCGCCTTGGGCGGGAGAACGGCGGCCCGAGGCGGGCAGTCCCGAGGTCCGAGCCGGGAGGGGCTTCTGCCGGCCGATCGGTTCGGCTTGCTTGAGTCTCCTGGTATCCTATCACTCAGGCTTGCAACAGTCGCCGAGGTTTCTCTGTGTGTAGTGCACCTTAGGCAAGGTTTGTATGGCACAGAACTTAGGTCTGATTCCTTGCGTCAAGGTGACCCCTGGGGTGATTGCTTGTTTAAGATGGATTTCTTAACCGAGTTTGGGTTTCTGCTCTCCCTCGTTGATGTGGCCTTTGTGACTTCCCCATGTTACTAACCCTGTCACAGCCCAGAAAGCAGCTTCACCCAGCTATTAAATGGAAGACTGGGGAGGGCGGGATTGAGAAGCTTGCTCATAAGGCATGATTTTTTTCCTATACTGGGGAAAGCATGGGAAGTGACACCCAACGAGGTTTATTCTTTTGCTAATTTTAAAGTGGCAGACGGTGACCGTGACCCCTGGGCGATCTGACATTATCCAAGTTCCAGTTAGATCCTCCCAATGGCGTTTCCGTCTCCAGCCTCAGTGTTGTGAAAATGTGGTATTTTAGAGTTCCATTCATACTGGGTTAGCACTGTAAAGTTTAGCAGCCTTAGTCTAGTGACCTTGACTGTTACTTTTCCTTGTGAGCCCTTTCTGATTCAGGGCAGCATTAATTTAGGTTAAATGCGATGTGCCAAGTGAGCAGTTTTTTTTGGCAGATGGTTGGTGCTGCATAAATGCTATATATTCTCCAGAAGCTCAAGCTGATCATTGCCCAGAGTATTGTCAGAGCCCTTGGTGGAACACGAAGCCGAAAAACCTTCACTAGAATAGTAAGTGACCCGTATGGGCTGTAAGAGAGACTGTTCTTACTGCCTCTTTTTTACCCACTATGGGACACTACGTCTTAAGGGAGAGTGTTTGTTATGATTTCAATCCAAGATTAGATGTGCTTTCAGCATAGAGGAGGCCAAGATGGGCTGAGTTTGATTTTTTTTTTTTTTAGGAGGCTAAGGAGGAAAAGTCTTAAGAGTTTTTAGGTGTTCAGTTTGTGCCTGGTAGCTGCTGAGTTTTTACGATTATGGTGTTTTAACAGACATGGCTGGTAGTAGGCTCTTTGCTGAAGGAGAGATCATTCTGGAAGTACATAAAGAAAAAAAAAAAAGAGACCATTGTTCTGTTACGGAAATGTAAAGGGAAATGAGGAAAATTCACTCCAAGGACAGTCCAGGGTTAGAAAAGGAGCGAGTGTGGTGTCAATAAAACCCAGATTGACGAGTTGTAAGGAAAGAATTGCCAGTACGTTGTCTGATTTCTTGACAGAAGGTGTAGGGAAATGGCTGTTTACATTGTATCTTCTATAGTGCATTTTCAGTGCATAGAGATAGTATGTTATTTTCCGGAAGGTTTGGCATGCATATGTCCTGTAACACAGTCCTTTATTAGTAGGTGGGTCGTTAATTATACCGCCTGTAGGAAGGTCTCTCAAACGCTCTTTAAAATGCCTGTTTGCCTTCCTATTTTAACATTTATCAGTTATAAATAGTTTTGCCTATTTTTGAACCCCTGTAAACCCCACAGAAAATACACTTTTGAGGTTCCTTCATGTTCCGTGTAACATGAAGTTACATTGTGTGTTTCATCATATATGTATGTATGTATATAAGTATGTATGTGTCAGAATTTCTTTTGTGATGGTTGTAGATGTGCTTTTAAAATTTATTTTATTTTTTATGTATATGAGTGTTTTGTCTGCATGCACCACATGTATGCCTAGGGCCTGCAGAAGCCAGAGGAGGTTCCAAATCTCCTGGAACAGGAATTACAGAGAGTTGTAAGCCACTATGTAGGTTCAGGGGATTAAACTTGGGTCCTCTCCAAAGAGCAGCCAGTGCTCTTAACTGCTGTGCCATTCATTTCTCTAGTCCTACAGATATGTTTTTAGTAGAGTTGACGCAAAGTCTAAACTTTGTTGCTTTGAAGAAAGTAAAAATTTGACTAAGTAACATTGAAATAAAATTGATATTCAGAGCAGGGATTGCCTAACGATGCCCGTGATGTAAACAGGACTCGGGTGTTTGTTTGGCTGGCTTCCCTTGAATTAGATTTCACCCTAGTACTAGAATTTCTAAATTACTCAAAAGCATTTATTTTTATGGCTATAGGGATTGAACCCAAGAGCTACATCTCCAGCTCATTTAAACTTTCCTTAGGCTATGTTGAAAGAAGCAGGTTTGGGGCTAGAGAGATGGCTCAGTGGTTAAGAACACTGACTGTTCTTCCAGAGGTCCTGAGTTCAATTCCCAGCAACCACATGCTGGCTCACAACCATCTGCAATGGGGTCTGATGCCCTCTTCTGGTGTCTCTGAAGAGAGCAATGGTGAATACATAAAATAAATAAATAAATCTTACCAAAAAAAAAAAAAAATTAAAAGAAGCAGGCTTGGATGGGCATTATATAAATTGTGGATTCAGAGTGGCTTCCACAGTCCCTGTAGGCCCATACCTGTAACAGATAGCACTAGGGCAACCAGGAAGCTTAAAACTATCAGCCTTTTCTCTCAACAGAAGGGATTTACACACATTTCCTTCCAGAAAGCTGATCTATTCAGTGACCTAGTGATCTCTTGCTATCTGTAGGTCCAGCATGTCTATCCCAGACTTCTGAGCATTGTTTCTCAGTTAATAGAACCCATTCTTACGGAAGAGTTCCCATGTACTATGCAGAAGAGTCTGACTTGCTTATTCCAGACCCTTCCTCCCTAGACCTTTATTTTAAGCCCTGTTTCTCAGTCAATAGAACCCCTTCTTATGGAAGAGGTCATAGCATAGGTACTTTGCTAAAGACATGCACTTTGCAAAGGAGTGTCTTAGTTTGGGTGTCTTTGTTTAATAGTGTCTTGGCTAGGTTGTTCATTGCTAAAGACCAAAAGCAACTTGGGGAGGAAAGGGTTTAGTTTGTCCACAGCTCTCCCTGATCACTGAGTGACGTCAGAGTAGGAACTGAAGTAGAGGCCATAGAGGAGCACTGCTTGCTCCTCTTGGCTTGCTCAGCTTGCTGATAGCACCGAGGAACACCAGCTCAGGAGTGGTACTACTAATCTACTGGCTAATCTACTGGAAGCATTTTCTTAATTGAGAGTCCCACTTCCGTGATGATTCTAGCTTGTGTCCAGTTGGCAGTATCTTTTTTTTTTTATTGGATATTTTATTTACATTTCAGATGTGGTCCCCTGTCCCCATTCCCCCCACCCCCAAGGAACACCCTATCCCATCCCCCTTCCTCCTGCTTCTATGAAGATGTGCTCTCACCCACCCGCCCACTCCCACCTCTCCATCCTTGAATTTCCTCACACTGGGGCATCCAGCCTTCACAGGACCAAGGACTTCCTCTCCCACCTATGCCCAACAAGGCCTCCTTCCCCTACATATACAGCTGGAGCCATGGGTCCCTCTCTTTGTGCTCCAAGGCTGGTGGTTTAGACCCTGGGAGCTCTGGTTGGTTGGTATTGTTGCTCTCCCCATGGGGCTGCAAACCCTTTCAACTCCTTCAGTCTTCACTCTAACTCCTCCATTGGGAACCTCATGATCATCAGTTCAATGGTTAGGTGTGAGCATCTGCCTCTGTATATGTCAGGCTCTGGCAGACCTCTAAGGAGACAGCTATATCAGGCTCCTGTCAGCATGCATTTCCTGGCATCCACATCAGCATCTACCTTTGGTGACTGCACATGGCATGGATACCCAGGTGGAACAGTCTCCAGAGGACCCCACCTTTAGTTTCTGTCCTACACTTTGTCACCATATTTGCTCCCATGCAGTTGGCAGTATCTTAAAAAGGGAAATACAGTTTTACTCTGTGACTCAGCAATTCTAAAGACACTAGAATGATGGTCTAGCTGTGGGGGAACTGAGAGACAGGAATGGAGGAGAGATTGGGGAAGTTTGACTGTGGAGGTGAATCATGAAGGGCCTATGATAAAATAACTAAGTTTTGTAGGAAGCGAATAGGATATTGGATGCAGAAAGTTGGGGTAGATGTACCGTCTTATTGATGAACAGCACACCGGACATGCAGGAATATTCAAGATGACATGGGACTGGGAGGGTGGTGGTACTCTCCATACAGATATGGGGTTCCTGAGAAGTTGATAGTGAATTTGAGGCATTTGGAGTGTGAGGTGGCAGAGAGACCTGGTGAGGGTGTCCAGCTTTACTTAGAAATGATTTGGTAATGAGTGCAAATAGCCAAGCCTCACTGGGGAGAATTCAGAACTCATACTAAGTGATAGGATAAGACACTGAAGTAAGGGGCTGGAGAGATGGCTCAGTGGTTAAGAGCACTGACTGCTCTTCCAGAGGTCCTGAGTTCAAATCCCAGCCACCACATGGTGGCTCACAACCATCTGTAATGGGATCCAGTGCCTTCTTCTGGTGTGTCAGCGATAGCATACTCATATATATAAAATAAATAAACAAATCTTTTTTAAAAAGAGAGAGATACTTTAGTATAAGACATAATTTTAAAAGTGTGTTCTGACTTTTTATAGAGTATATGGAATTATTTAAAGACTGTTGAGGTGCCTGCTGTGTATATTTGGGGTAGAGCAGGTGATGTTCACACCTGCTGAGGGAGTGACCATAGTCCTATTTTTTTTTTAAGGTTTATTTTTAGCCAGAAATGATGTCACATACCTAGTTCCACCTCTTGGGAGGCAGGAGAAGGTGATCTTTTTAAGTTTGAGGCCAGCTTGGCTTATACATCAAATTCCAGGCCACTCTCCAAACAAACAAAAAAGGTTAATTTTATTGTTTTTAAACTGTGTGTGTCTGTGGATATGTACACCTGTGTTTGGGTGCCTATAAAACCAAGAGCTATTGGGTCCCCAGAAGTTAGTTTCAGGTGATTTCGAGTTACACCATGTGGGTGCTGAGATCTGAACTTGTGTCCTCTACAATAGCAGGGCATGCTCTTTAACGACCGAGCCTTCTCTCCAGCCCCCACAGTTAATTTTAGAACACTTGCATAACATCAGAAGGAAAGCTGGCCTCCTTGTCCAGCGCCCTCTTACACTCCAGAGTCTACCTCTGTGCTGCACTGCTGTCAATGAAACCATGGAATGTGTAGTCTTTTTGAGTTGCGAGACACAGTTTCTCTGTATAGTTTTGGCTGTCCTGGAACTTGCTCTGTAGACCAGGCTGGCCTCAACCTGCCTGAAATCTTCCTGCCTCTGGCTCCTGAGTGCTTGGATTAAAGGTGTGCGCCACCACCGCCAGTATAGTCGTTTTGCACCAGGATTCTGTGTGTGCATGGTAAGCCAGAGGTCAGCCTCGTTCTCAGGAGCTATCCACTTAATATATTTATTGATGGTTTCTCACTGGGCCCTGGTGCTCTCGAATTAGGCTGAGTCCCAGGGATCTGCCTATTTCCACTCTGTCTCCAGTGCTGAGACTACAGCTCATGTCGCCATCCCTAGCCTCTTCTGTGGTGTTGGGAGTGAGCTCAGGCCTCCTTACAAGCTCGGGCACTTTACTGACTTACCAAGCCTTAGTACATCAGTTCAGACAGACGGGAAGAGGGGAGGGACAGCAGGGTCCTATGTGGACACAGTACTTCTTGAAACTCACATGGGGCCTTTCTTGTCTTTCCCGTCTCCCTGGTAGAGTTCTTCTTGACTATTTGCTTTGGAAAGCTGCTGAGGGCATTTTGTCAGGGTTGAGAACCACTCAAAGGCCCCATAATACAAGTGACAGAGACCCTGTTCTGGCCCTTACACAGTTAGTGCTGCCTCAGAAATAGCTGCCCAGACACACTGATAGCTTCTGTTGCTCTTTGCTGTCCTGCAGGGGTTAAAGCCGGTTTCCACGGAAGCACCGCCTATCATATTTGCCACACCGACCAAACTGACCTCCAGTGTGACAGCATATGATTATGCTGGAAAGAACAAAGTTCCAGAGCTGCAGAAGTTCTTCCAGGTGAGAGAAGAAGGTCAGAACTATGAAATGTACACATGTGTGTGTTGGGGTGGGAGCTTCTGAAACTGGGTGACTTTACTGTTGTCTCTCCCCAGCCTCCTTTTCTTTAAATAGAACTCTTTACTTCAGTTTGGTCCATTGACTAATAGTGGAACTTGTGTACAGGTAGATGCTGGTAACAGGGATGTGGCTGTGACCCCATTGCACTAACACAGATTTCAGACCCTCATGCAGTGTGGTTCTCCGTAATCACTGTGAACACAGGAGCATGTGTAATAACACAGTATCAGTCGGCACCTATTAGTGCTTGTCACACATTCAGTGACTTCAAAAATGTGTGTGTGTGTGTGCGTGTGTCTCTGTCTGTCTGTATGTCTGTGTGCGTGCAGAGATTAGGAGGGGCTGTTGAATCCCCTGGAGCTGAAGTTGCAGGCAGTTGTAGGAACTGACCTGAGAGCAGCAATGGCTTGTAACCACTGAGCCATCTTGCCAGCTCTGTGCAGTGACTTGGCAGCCAGTTTTCTTCTGTTTGGCTTGCTTGGTGCTCCAGTTCACTACACTATCAGTGGAAGTTGGGAAGCCCTCTTAGGTCGGTCATCAACAGACAGAAGACGGAATTGACACTTGAATATAGTTAATCTATTTAGAGATAATGACGAACCTAGTGACCTGACTGTCAAGTGCTGGGGAGTGACAGAGCCCGTCATTGCAGCGGTCCTTACAGGCTTGCCTCCCCCACAAGAGTATGGGCAGGTTCAGGTCCATCCTGCCTATAGAACATTTTCATGTTGTTCAGTGTAAGTATTTTAAATCAGTTGAGTAAGATTTAAGAGACCTTTGGAGCCTGCACAAAATGAGTTAAGGATCCTACAGAGTCTTTACCTTTCAAAAGTTTCCAGGGCTCTGCCCTTGCAGAGCGAGACTGGTAAAGGCCTTAGAGTCCTGGCTCATTTGTTGCCTCAGACTTGGATGTAGAGGATGGCTGCAGACTTAAAGTCTTGAGCTGTGTCTATAAGGAAGTACACCCGTGTTCTGCCATACTCATGCTTCCCAGTCCCTCGCTATAATGTGTTTATGGAGTAATTTTCATGATGGGCAGAATCATCTTCTTCAGTCTGTAGTAAAATCTGTTCTTTCTAGACAGCTCATTGTCCCTTCTCGCTTGCAGAAGGCTGACGGCGTGCCCATCCACCTGAAACGAGGCCTTCCCGACCAAATGCTTTACCGAACCACCATGGCTCTGACAGTGGGAGGGACCATCTACTGCCTGATCGCCCTCTACATGGCTTCGCAGCCCAAAAACAAATGAGTTTGCCTGTGGAGGACTGGTTCACTTTGTGGCACAAACCCTTTGAATTCTCACATTTCATGTTTTTCCACTTGGATAGTCTACTTAACATTTTGCAAACAAAGGAAAAGATAAGAATATCCTGTTTTGGTTTGTTTATGGCGTGCAGATGGCCTGTCAGATGTCAGAGCTTGTTTGGCAGTTAAAACTATTGTTTAAGGAGATGACACTGAGTCATCACTGAGCTGTGCTTCTGCTCCTGATCTCCCTGGAGATTCTGGATGAAAGCTGCTCATGGCCAGCAGTGCTCAGGGCCTCCGGGACCCAGCAGTGTCTGAGCAGGAAGCACAGAAGCCTTTTGGGTGTAGGTGTGATTGAGGAAGGAAGACAGAAGCCAGAGGACAGGCAGGTGAAATGAAGGCTTGTTAGCCACCTGGGGGATTGCGATACCTTGCAGGAAAATGTTAATAGATATTACTTGCAACCTGCCTCTATTTATTGGGCAGTTGGTTTCAAAGGGTTATTTGCCTCGCCCAGACCTTAGGGAAATATGTATTTGTTCCATCATGGGAAAGAACACCTGTCAGTGTTCCACTGTAGACAGCTGTACCAGGAATTCTCCTTTAATAATGCTGTGGCTTTAAGTTATGATTTACTTGACTGCGGAATAAATACATTAAAAAAAGATGTGTAGTTTGGCTTTTTTTTTTCTTCCTTTTCCTTCCTTCCTTCCTTCCTTCCTTCCTTCCTTCCTTCCTTCCTTC